CGCTAGCTGGACTGGTTGCCTCTTTTGGTAATGGTGTTTTTCTTTACACTTTTAATAGTTGACGACGCCTTCCGCTTTTTTGCGCTATCTCCAGTACTCGGCAGCACTTTGAAAAAGCTGTCGAGTCGCTTTTGCAATTGCGTGCTTTTAGATTTCTTCAATCGCATAATGGCCGAGAGCACTCGATCTTCTTGAAAGCCATGCTTCTTGACAAGAAAGTCATCTTCATCGATTACGTGAAATGGGCGCCACACGAACACCGTATATGTTTTCACGCTCAAGTCTCCAAAGATGCAGTCGCCGCATTCTGCGACGCGTTGCAAAATGGTCACGACAACAACATCGCTATGCAGCTGATTCTGAGATGGATCATTATTTATGCCTTCTCCCAGACATGGCCGATTTGTTTTTCTCAATGCTCAACGCCTTCCTCTTCTCGATGCTCAGCGCCTTCGGCTTCTCAATACTAGCCGCATTCCTCCTCTCGATACTCCGCGTCCACTTCCTCTCCACACTTCTTGGTTTCGGCTTCTTCACACTTGGTACTCGTCGCTTTTCATTTCGTATTTCTCGAGTCCGTCCGAGACGCGACGCGAAATCGACTTTTCTAGCGAATTTCGATGCCAATGGGACATCCTCTGACGACGCCGTTGATTTCCATCTCATGGGAGGTCGAACAGCTGCTTTGAGTTGCTCTCCTTTGTTTTTTCTTTTCGTTGGGCTTTTAGCAGGACTAACGGATCGTGTTTCATTTTTCGGACTCGACGGTAACGACGGCGGCAAGATTTTCTTCCTGATTGGCGATTTGTTCTGTTTTGTTGGGCGATTGCAGTAAAATAGAGCTGGGGGACAGTCAAATTCAAGCTATACACTCGGTGAATAAATCAAGCGTTACTTAAACCACGAAGTATTCACTTTTGCATTTAACGGCGGAGGACTGTTCTCGACATCGTCAACAGTTGGCTCTGGGTCCGATATCCGCTCTGGGTCACATGATTCTGGAGCTGGACCAGCTGGCACTGAGGGATCCGGAGGAATCATTTTCAATATACTTTGCATAGAGCAAAAGATGTTAGTTACTTGCAACAGAATCGGGAAACATGCTTACTGGGTTATCCATTAGATCTTCTAGCATCAAACAGACATGCGCCTGATGTCAACACGTCAGATATGTCGATACAAGATGAATGAAGACTATCAGACCTGGCAAAAGGCATAACTGTAGTGTAGAGCGGTATTTCCATTCACGTCGATGACAAGCAACGTCTTTTCTTCTGATACTTGATTTAAAAGGGAATCGATGAAAACCTTAATTGTAGCTGCAAGCATTAGTGAAGTGATCCCCCACTTGTCCGTGGCGCACAAATTAGCTCCAGCTTGTAGTAAAAAGATTGCCGTTTTCAAATATCGACTCGATGCTGTTATTCTCAACTCGGATATCCTTTGTTGCTTAACGCATTGGTGAGTAATTGAAGAGGGGTGTCTTGCAAGCTCTGGCGATTGAAGCACATCCACGTATCCTTGAATCTACAGAAAAACTTAGTTAAAATTCAGCAATTTTGTTAAAGGAGGATCATTTATACTGCCAGATGAAGTGGGGTTCGCTCTGTTTGAACTGTTTTCTCGTTGATTGATACGACCCATTGGTCAGAAGAGTGGGGACTTGACAATAGCAGCTTCCTCACGTAAGTGTCATTACCATTATACGATTCTATCCAAAGATTCTGAAATGTGACAGCGTAGTGAGCTTGAAAGGTCCAAAGATATGGCTGAAAACGTATTACTTTAAGCATAGCTCGAACATTGTCCTTGTTCAGAGCATATAAAGGTTTTATTCCCTGGATATCGGGGGAGTTGATCCGAAGTCGCGAGTCAGGGTCCCACGACAGCAGAAATTGAACCATACTGGAATGTCCTTGAGTTACTGGACACACAGACATACAAGCAAAATTGAGGTCTGTCATTTATCTCTACATGAGTCCTACTTTACCTGCAATATGCAACGGATTCCAGTTCTTATCTCCAGATAACGTTGCATCACACCCAGAACGCAAGAGAAAGCGAGTTACATCAACGTCACCTCCACGACAAGCCAAGAGTAATGGTGTCGCTTTATGATAGTCTTTGAGATTTAAGTCAGCTTTGCAATCATATAGAAAAGTTACGAATGACAATCGATTGGGCGCCTGAGCTTTACAATTTTTGCGCTTTCGCGCGAGAACAGCGACGTGAAGTGGTGATCTTCCTTTCAGTGACCTAGCATTGATATTCACAACCATCGTCGAATTGACGAGAAGGTGAGCAATAGCTAAATGATTGGCAGAGCTCATGTCTGCACAATACTATCGTGATAATGTGTTGATATGTGTCAGTAAGCCAAAAGGCTGTGAGTTTTTCAAATGGAGTATTTTTATATGCAAAGGAGTCCATAGATTTGCATCTCGGACATTAGGATCTGCTCCGTCTTCAAGCAAAAGTTCCACGGCACGAAAATTTCCAGATTCTGTGGCCCGGTGGAGTGGAAGTTGATGCAGATATCCAGCTTGATCATCTAATATTAGTTGCAACTTAGCTAGAGCAAAAGTACTTATGCTAGGGTCGCAACTATCGTTCCGCTCATTCACACTTTGGAAGCGATTCCCAATGTCCAGTGCTTCTAGCTCGCGTAAAATGAGCTTCTCCATTATACGCGATACGTTGATTGAAAGCAGCCGATCGACGTCCTGAAGACTTAATTCGACACCTTTTTGGAAATACCACTTGACTTGCTTCAAATTTTCCGCTTCTACAGCGTAATGAAGCGCCAGCTTTTCAAATTTATCTATGTGATGATACTTTAGCTACAATCGCTTGCAGGTGGCCAACATTTCACCTTTAACTCACCTTTGATGGACAAGATGTTGGGGTGGGAACGAAGAGTACTGCAAAGATTGTAATTGATTTCTGCTGGGATCGGTGATGATGTCGTGGCAATCTGGATTTATATCACGTACACTTAGATCCAAATGTACATGACATTGCGAGCGTAGAGACATACATAATGAAAGGCTGAGCGGCCATTCACGTCTAGTGTACTTAAAACGCTTGCCCAATTTTTCGCACTTTCGCTGAGTTGTTTCTCGTTGTAGCTCGTTAACTCGAGGAGGCACCCAATCGTTGGTAAGGCTTTCATTGTCGTGCACCCATCTGATCAACAACACTGCTATTCTAGAAAAGTGTTCAATCACTGCTCATTCGTTCTCTAAACGTACACATTTAGCTGAGATCTCTTTCTCATCAAAGTATTAAGCTCATTCTGATATTGGACGTCATTGTAGGAATTGACATCTGCTTTATCAATCTGTTTTTCGAAAGAGCTCCATAGTGGTAGAGTGTGCGTCCGGTCAAGTCGACAATCGCTAAAACCTCTTTAGGCGATCTTTCATCGAGCCACTGTTTCAATTGATCAGCGTCCTCTGTGAGGACGTAATGAAACGCTTCGATGCTAATCGTCCCAGGCAAAAATATTTCTTGTTCTCTGTCTAGCCAGTAATAAAATTGTTTTGTAGCTATAATGACAAGAAACAATCAAGTCCTTTACCTTTGTTGTTGACGGTTAAAATCTGTGGTACTATTGACTGGCAGGTCGTATAGATTCTCAACGTCCTCCGACGTCGATCTTTTACGAACGGTTGAGAAAACGAAATCGATGTTTTCCTCACTTTTGAAGTCGTTATCTTTGCTTTTGTCGTTCGTAAAAAGAGAAGATTTTTATCTGAAGCTTCACATTTCAATTCAGAAGCTTTAGGATCATCATTGCCATTGCTCTAGCAGGATTTGTCCACATTTCATCGGAAGAATACCTCACACAGGATTCATCACATTTATCCTGACAATGACTCTCCAGTACTACGTTTCCGTTTTCAATTAAACTAGATGTCATGACATGAGGTTGATTGTTCTCCGTTTTCACATTCTTTCTTTCCTCGGAACTCAATGTCGATACTGCTGGCGTCCCTAACCTTAGCGATAATGGCTCGTCACCATTTCGGATCTCTTTATATTCAGTGAGCGGCTTTAAAAGAGACGATGATGCATTACCATTAAGAACGTCCGTACTAACTTGACTAGCATTTACTTGCGACGTTTTAGATAATCTCTTGATCTGTGCCAGGAATTTGCGCGGTGATGCTTCATCACTATTGTGTTTCTTACTAAATGTTTCAAATTGGTTGTCTATTCTCTCTGCAAGCCTTGAGGATTTCATCGGTCGCTTGGCGACACCTTTCGCGACCTTTCCAAACTCGAGATCTTCACGCGACTCTTTTGTTAAAAGCTGAAAATTTTTATAACATTGAACGTCAATACTCAAAGCTGAATGGCTTCGAATGCTACTAACGTAGTCAAGAACCAGTTATCTCGAGACCTCACAGCAATTTTGCAAGTCACTCGCGAAAAACGAGGCAGAACCGCAAGTTTCAAAAGCTCTAAAGATCCGACAAGTCAAGAAGTGTCCTATTACGGTGATGTTGCTCAACAACTTGTGGCATTAGTAGACCAAGTAATGCGAGCATCCCCAGAGCAGCTTAGTACAATTGATAAGATTGACTTATTTGTGAAATTCGGAGACAAGTTCTACCAATGTCAAGAGTATCATTCTGCTTCGTTGTTTTTCTACCAAAATGTTCTAAAGCTTGACATATTCTGCCATCAAAATGGCTTTGAACACAGTCTCAACTCGATCGAAACCCAAACAAAGGTCTTGAGTCTTGTGGAGGGCCAAGCGTACATTCGATCTCTTTATGGTTTAGCCATGTGCTCCTTTCACGCTCAAAAGCGGTCGGATGAACTAATGAGATATCCAGGTTCTCTCGGAAGAATGATTGAGGCAATGACTGCCTTACGACGTGGAATGGAAATCGCGCTGGACATGGAGCGTCAGCATCCGGATAAATTTTCCTGGCTAACGCTAAATGGCACGATTCTTATCTATTCCATTGCAAAGCCTTTGCAGACTCTCGGATTCGCCAAAGAAGTGGTCGTATATTTAAAGTACAGTTTGCTTGCGATGGAATCAATAGAGGCACTGAGTACAACCACTTACATCTTATGGCGTATACAACTTGGCTCAACTATCTGTGATTGCTACCAAGACGCAGCCGTTAAAGAAGAAGGCAACGCTAATCGTCATAACCAATCTGCTGTGGCATGTGCACTCTATCTTCAGCAAATAGTCCAGCGGCTTCGCAAAGAGGAAGAGCTAGATATGCCGCTTCCTGATAATGTCCAGCAAATTCTGCTACAATCAGAGACGGCATCTGCTCTGTTGCTTTTCAGACTGAAAGCCACTGCAGCGCATCAACCACATACCAAAAATGCAATTGTGTCAGCATTTTCATCGTCGCACGACCAGCTTCGGGCTGCGATTGATGCTATACAGGCGTGGCTACGTCAAGATCGCCAGAGGCGTGGTGGACAAGTTTTGTCCATAATGAAACCAGCAGTCTCACCTCCGAACGGCACACTGCTCGAGCTTTTTGAATTTGTCATGACTATCGTAACGCCAATGCTAAGATCATTTGTCGAAGTTGAAGAAGCAACAGCGGCTACGAAATCCATAATGCTTGATGTAGTCCCCTTCTCAATTTCATTTCATCTTATTACAATCAGAACGTGTCTTCAGCTAGGACAGCCCGACGAACAAATGAATTTGCTTACAAAAAGTGCGCATGCACGACTACAAGGCACATCAAGTGAGTTATCTGCAGCAAATGCTGCAACGATCAAGTGTGTGATAGCACTGTATGATACGCTTTATGACGTGCAGCAATCTTGGGCTAAGTGGGAAGCTCTGTCAGATGAAGAGCGCTTACAGTCAACGCTGCATTTGCGGCTGACAATTTCGAATGTCACAATACCATCGTCCGTATTGCTGACACGTTTATCGAACGCAGTACAAATGTGTGTGAGTCACGGCAGTGGTGCAATTGCTTGGGCCACTCACGACTTGTTGACATGTGTAGCATTGCAAATGTGGCGTGAGATGGGCATCGTATTGTTAAAAGAGCTAGATGCAACTGATATTGCATGCTTACCAGAATCATTGGTTTTCTTAACATGTGATCTGCTGCTGACAATCCACATCACGCTCATCGCCGTCAAATTTGACGATCTCTTGCTCCTCGGGCACATTGCTTTGTGCTTGGCAACACTATTGTCGATCAGAGGAGAGGCACGCAAAGGCAGTCAAGTTGTGCGAAAATGCCTGGATCAAATTGACTTACGGAGATGTGAAGTGGTGGATTTTTCATCTCACTTTCAATCTGTCGTCGATGTAAAATCAACCACATATCTTTCCGGTGCTTCATTTTCATGTAATTTAGAGAATATGAATAGGGTCGATACCGAAGCAGCTACTGCACGAGATAATGTTGGTATACAAGGCACAGGGTCCCTGCTTGGGAGTCTTCATCAAAGCTTATGCTGCCTTCAAGTCGATTTGTTAATGTTGATGTATCGTCTGGAGCTTCAAGCTGCCAAAATGATCGACACTGCTTCTAATGTGTCTATTAGACATTCCCTGCTACTTATGACGGAAGCGACACTTTACAATGAGTGCCTTCAAAATGACTACATGAAAGTGCTTTTCAATATTCAGCGCCTTAACCTCCCAGAAAAATCAATCAAAAAACGACGAAAACTCGCAGATGAATGTTCTCAGCTTTTGAAGAAACTGGAGCGTCAAGAAGAAAAGCTTTGTCGTCAGCTGGCACCAATTGCGGCCTCACCAGCGTCCGCAGTCCCTGCTGCTCCAATCATCCTATCTCGCTCAAGCAACTCAATTATACTTCAAGTTGTGCCGTATCATCCTTCTGGTCCGTCATTTAGAACTAAAAGTGTGCAGTACTACATGGTTTTCGCCAAATCTGTTGGTTCAGGCACTAATGTCTCCTTGACGAGCAACGAACTGCCGGGAACAGCCACGCCAATATATCCGCCACAAACAAATGCAAAAATTACAGGTTTGTTACCCAACGAAAGCTACGTCTTTGCTGTGGCTGCTTTCGATAAAAACAATCAAGTGATAAATTCCATAGGCGAGACCTCTGAACCGGTAGTAGCGCTGAATCCGCTGCCTTTACGTATGTGTTATGGATACCTGGCTCTGGCATGCTACGATGCCCAACTAATAGCAGGAGCTACTCGTGCGGCGAGTAATTTAAGCAACACCATTACTTCCAATGTCTGTGCTGAGAACCCACCGTTGATAGCAAGTCCGTTCAACAAACAATCACTGAAGCGGGAAGTAGTGGTGCGACTTCCTCAACCAATTTTAAATCTCTGCATCCAAGCTTTACTCATCTTGTGTCACAATGAGTCTGAAGACCACAATCAAGAAGGTGAAGATATCATATCCTCTAATTTGGATGCTGAGTCTTTAGTTGAGATTCAAAGAGTAGCACTTGAAAATAGCCACAGGATCTCAATTGGCGTTGAAATTGCTTGTTTAACGGACAATCAGGAAGCTATACGAGTGCTGTGCTTTAAAGGATATCGCTTGCTGCTTCCCTTGTTTCGATCAAAAGGATGCTGCAACATACTGACGTTTGCCACTCTAGTGACGTATTACCAAGCGTTAAAGTTGATCTCAGAAGCAGAATGGGATGTCGACACGCGGAAAATAGGTGCACGCATCGGCTTTGAGCTGCTTCGAATTGCTCGAGAATTACACAGCGACGTTGCTCGAATTGCTTCTTCCCTGATACTCAGCACTAATTTGGAGACCGAGCAAGCTTCTCCTGAGAGCAAGATCGAAACGACAAGCTTCCAGGAAGTTCTGGCTCTCTTTCAGCTTGCTGCTAACGCACATGAAGATACGCCGGCGGCTGGAGCCCCTCTTCGACATGTAAACTCAAATGCGTCTGCAACCTCAGGCGGTATCAAAGGAAAAATTCCTACGTTACAAAATGCTGAAGAGGCAGACAGCATGACAGCACAAGAAAAGATCAAAAGCTTGAGTGAGATCGTCCGACTTGTTGCTGACAATAATCTATCCACGATCTTAAAGACGCTACAACAGATGAGCAATTCGGATTGTCAAGCGCTTGAGTTTGCATGCAAGGTCGCTTGGACTCTCTTAAAAACAAAATTTCAATATGTTACCCAACTTGGCGAGTTCTTGGCATCTCTGAGGGTCACGCCTGTGATCAGCACTTACTTTCGGGAGACGCTGACCTCACTCGGTGGTGCCTTCCTCTTGCCCGAGCTGACAGATGCTAATGAAGCAAAGCCAAGCGGTGATTTAAATAATGAAGGGATAAAATCACCTGAGAGTATAGTTAATAAGTCTGCACCGAATGATGACTATATGTTCAAGTGGTGTGGTGAGCTGTTCTTCATCCAATCCGTCATAGTAGTACGTTATTTTCTACGGGTCATGTGTTTGCCTTCACTTAGCGTAGGCTGCTAATGACTATATTACGTCGTGTCGTTTGTCAAATCACAGTACCAAGAGATCGCCAAGCGTAGCAAAAGTATTGACAATGTAGACGTTGCGAAAGGACCCACTGGAGACTGCGTATATGGCTATCCATACGTCTTCGGAAAGAGCGCGGATCAGATCAACCGAGAAGAGGATGATGAGACTGCTTTATCGCCAAGAGGTCAAACTCGTCGCACTGATTCTTCGCAAGACCGAGAATTTCTTGGAGACACTGGTATTGCAGATTCCATCGACAATCACTTGGATCAATTATTCGGAACGATTCTCGAAAAAACGGCAGCGTGTTGCAAGCTTTTTCAACTAGCAAAGTGTTGGCAAGGTCTCCAAGCTGCGGTTCGACAGCTTTGGAATGCAATTTGCCTTGCGTGGGTGCCTCCGACTCGAGTCAGTGCATCGCCAACTTGGCAAAAACACTTTTTAACGTGTACTGAAGCCCTTTTAGATATGATGGACTCGACGGCAACTACAGCCGCGAATCAGAGCAAGACACCACTGAGCGCAGCAACATCTAATATTTTTGACGCCAACGCCCTCGACGTTGACCATGCTTGTGTTGCAAGAGTAGTAACGTATTCCTTAAAAGCATTGTGCTCTTCTAAAGACTGGAAGGCTATCGTGGAAATAGGAGGACGATATCAATTGTTGTCTAGTCACAGCATAGACGGCAGCCTATTCTCCCAGCAAAACTTTCTCGTAATGATATTTGCACAGAAGCAAGTGATGTATCAACATGAAGCGCTTTTGGCAGCTGCAAAAGAAGAAGTTAAAGCTTTAATCACCTTGAATCAAGGACAAGAAGTCATCGCGAAAGAGTCAATTTTGGTGGAAGGAGAAGATGCGCATCAAGCGCAGGCATTCCAAGCGATCCAGCGAGAAAAAGAGCAGCAAATTCAACAACTCACCGTCGAGAGGGACCTTGAGCTTAAAAAGCTGACTCACATGAATGAACTCAATGACAGATTCACGAAAATTATCAACAAGGGTCAGCAAATGCTTCACACTTGCCATCAGATGATAGAACAGTACAGTCGACTTGAACACCGCAACGATCCACCAAATCAAAAAGAGCTTGCAGCACTTCGACATCAAATAATCGGTCTATTCAAACGATGCGTAGCTTCGGCTCGACAAAAGCGTCAAAAGCAACTGATATGTCAAGCCCTTCAAGAAATGGGGGACTTTTACCTCGCGTCTGGAGATCTCAAAGCTGCTAACAAATGCTGGCTTGAGTCGCTGGATAATGCTTTTGGCACACTCAATGTTTGTGCCTCATGGCGCGATATTTTGATTTCAGCTGTAGACTCTTTTACCAATCGCAACGATGCCAACAAGGATCAATTTGCTGGGAATGACCTCTGGGTAGGCATTCAAAGCTGCTGCGTATTGTCAAAGCTGATAATGCATTCGACCGGCACCGATATGCATGAATCAATCAATTATGCACTGATGGCAGCAGCAATTTTCACTCGTTGTTATGGGTGTCCAATGCCACTCCAAGAAAAATGCTCTTTGTACGGATCGTGTCGAATGCATGGATTCCAGTGGCCAGGATGGAAAATCTTTTCAGACCAGGATGGCGTCAGCTCGTTCTCACTAACCATAATGCTGATGTTAGTTCCCGAAGTTTTGTTGCTGTACAAGCAACAATATGCTTCCACTGCGATGCCGGTCATCAAGGGCTACGAGTATGTCGCCCAAAATTGTCTTTGCGATGTTAATCATGTCGCAAATGCACGAAGGCTTCAAATTGAGGCACTTATCCATTGTGGGCGCTTTCAAGAAGCCTGGCGATTTTTGATGGAGCTACTTCAAGGTGGTACAACAGTTTTGGAGAATATAAATTCTTCCGAACTCAATACAATCACGTTTCACGACGAAAAGCTATTGGTAGACGATCGCAATCGGGCTGCAATAAATTGGTTGAGCACTTTGAAGGTCGAGGTGATCCAAACAGAGCTTCGAAAGCACTACCCCATGACGCTTGTGGTACATATCTTAGCATTAATTTTGCATCTTGCTACTGCAATGGCTAAGCATGAGAGCAGATACGACCGTGGCGCTGCAATCATTTGCTCTGCAGCTAAAAATATGGCACATACGCTGTTGTCGCTATTGAGACCGATCGATGTAACTGCCAGTCAGGTCACCGAAAGTGAACCAAACAAAAAAGGCAGCGAGGACACTTCTTCGTATCCATTGCAGCAGTCACTCTCGTGGGAAAATGTTCAGCTTTATCGCATTCGAGCGGATGTGCTTCTTCAGTTAAGTCGTCTTTCATTTTACGAAGGCGATTGGATCGCATCAAAGGCTAGTAGCATGGACGCTATTGAAGAGTTTGATGCAATCTCTCGAAACCACAATCAACCAATGCACTTAGAGTTGGATCAAATTCTGAAATTCTCGCTGCTAGTTCCTCGTGGTTCGTTTGTAGCCGAATGTCAGTCACAAATTGCTAGTTGCTGCCTTGCTCAGGCTGACTATCGGACTGCACATGAAGTCGCTCAAATTGCAATTGAAGAGACGAAAAAAAGCGGCGAAGTTCATGTTCGACAGCAGTTGGAGCTGCAACGATTGCAAGCGGCGGTATTTCTTGGCAATCGTGAACAGACTGAGCAAGCGCTTATTGCCTTAAAACACGATGCGCTGGCAACTCACACAACAACATCGCTTACTTATACTCGCACGTTGCTAACTTTGAGCTCGCTACTCCGCTCAAAGGCGCTGATTTCCGGTAACCCATCCAATTTAAAGGCAGTCGATGAGTGCCTCAGTGAAGCAGAAGTTTTGCTCAATGTCTTGTTGAAACACGATGGTTGGACAGGCGTAAACGTGTCATCGCTTCAGCAGAATGAGGAAAGACTTAATTTGTATCGACCTGCCGTGCCCGACTTGGTGCAGGTCAATGCTGAGCTGACGCAAGTGCTGCTCGAATACCCCCTAAATCCTGAGTTCGAGAGCGTGCATACACGTCAAAAAAGAGCATTGCGCCTCGTTGAGGCTGGATTACGTTCTCTAGAGCACACGACGCAGCGTATGTTAGCCACCAAAGCACGGCTTCTACTGTTCAAGGGCATTTTGATCTCAAAACTTCTGTTCTCCACTACAACAGAATTTGCTGAATCCAAGCCACGTTGCGTCGATAAGAATATTGCACAGCGCTTCGATGAGTGCGTTGAAGCATTTCTCAGCTGTATCAAGTCGTCAATTGAAGATGGATATGACCGCCGCTTAGTTCAGTTGGCATTAATACAGCTAGTTGATATTTTTAGTCGAAAATTGGTTCCAGGTGACGAGGACACACACGTTCAAGCTGCATTTCACTATTTAAAGGTGGCAGTCGTTGTACAAAAGCACGAATTTGTACTGTTCAACACGCTTGAACTGCAAAGTGGCGCGATCACTTCCGTGAACAATCTCCCGGCTTCGGTTCGCGCTGCCATCAACGCACAATTCGATGCAACAGAGAATAGCTGCTCGGCACGATTGGATGAGAATGCTTCTGATACTAGCCACATTGTCAATTATTTCGTGCGCTTGCTTCGAATGCAACGTATTCTTCCAATCGCCACTACAGAACTTCAAGATACTGCTGCTTTTCTCCATCGCTTCTTGATGCAAAATCACTCAGAGTATACTCGCGTGGCTTGCTTGGCGAACTTGCCTCCTGTTTCTTCCACCGATCCAGAAATTTGTACAGGCTTGGTGTGTTGTATCTGGGGTCACGAACTTGCTCCAGCTATCGCGACCCCTTCGACAAATACCACCGAGCTCACACTTTATTTCGCGCTTGGAACGACCAGTATTTCCATTTCTGACAAACAATCGGATGTAGATAACGAGGCTGCTGTTGCTAGGATGAAAAGGTTTGGGTCTTCACTTTTAAGCAAGCGTTGCAACCTTGATCGTCAGTCTGTAAAGCACGTAAAAGCGGCGTTAAGCAATTTGCGAACTCAAATGGAAGACCTGGACTCCTTGCTGATCGATCGCACTTCATTTCAGCATTTGTTCCACTCAATACTATGCAAGATTCAGCAGTTATTTCGTGGAGCTGGGTATAGCCCAAATCTTAGCCTACAAGGTCGAGCCGAAACGATGGTAGAAGCTTCTGCGTGTACTCAGCGCGATGGATTCGGAGATAAAATATCTATCGAGTGCACCTTGGAGACGGTTCGACGCTTTGAAGACATGTTTTCCATCAACAAAGGAGCAAACTTTGTTGACAACGATCTGTGCTTCTTTTCAAGAGACCTTCTAGACTAACAAGTCAGTATATATTATTAGCTCCTACCTAGTTATTCCTCTGCATCCTTGGGAGGTGCAGTCTTTTGCAGATAAAACTCATTAAAATCAAAGCGAGACAAGAGAAACGATAAGCTTGGTGCTCCCCTATACATTATAAAAGTAGAATTTAAGCATCGTGTTATCTAGCCAGCAACAATTTCTTACCGAAGAGAGTTTAGCTTGACAATGTTGAGAAGTTCAAGAAAATATTTACTGAATTCTTCGGAAACGTCTTCAATCTGACGCATTATTTTTGAATTGGAGCCGAATGTCTCTCGCTCTCCTCGAAAATTGTGTTCATTATTCTCTGGTATGCTCCATGAACCCTGCAAGCAGGCACACACTCGTATGAGCACAATAAAACAGAGAATCTACACCACATACATCTAGTTTTTGACGCTGCATAAAGTGCTGATGCCTTTCCTCTACGTGCTTTTCGTGCATCGCTGTTGTGTAAAGATTCTCCTGTACTTTACTAAATCTAATGATCGTCGCAAAAATGAGCTTTAGCTGCTTGAGAATATCCCGTGATTCTTTCATCATAAACCCCTACGAGATAACAATTCACAAACTCAATATTTTCCAGCATTTTGAACTGCCGCATAATCTCGTACATTTTTCTTGATTGAAGCAATGTACGCCGCGTGGCTTTCGATAAGTTCGTCTAAGTCCTTCGCAGCATTTAAATCCTTCACCAACTTATGCCACGCTGTCTCTAGGACCTATACCAAGACGCATACTTTGAGCTCGGCCAATTAACTTAGGTCATGAAGTACTACTTATTACCTCAAACATCATGTAATTAAGAAGATTCGTAATAAAGTGAATCATCTCAGATCGTATAAGCTGACTCTTGTGTAGCACAGGTCGAATTCCCGGCACACATCCCTGAGATAAGCAAGTTAGTAAAATTACGCAAGAGATTCGATGTGCCTGGCATACCTGAACTTCATGCCCAAGATTCATGTCCTTTGACCACGACGCAGATAGTGAATGCTCAACACGCTTCAATCGCCATAAAAATTCAAATATTTGCTGGTACTGAAGCATCGAGGTTGCCGGAATGACACTATTTACTGGTGCTTGTAAGTTGTAGTGCAAGCAGAAGATGTCCCAACCAGTATCAGCTGCGAGTTGTTGCAGTAACAGAATGATCAGTACACATTAAATTGTCCTTGCTAAAAGCTCTAATCGACCTGAAGATCCCTGAAGCAGCTCGACATCTAGGCGACCTAGAACATCTGCCGACTATGTCGCAGGTATGAGGCTAGAACTCTAAGGGCGATATATTGCGTCATTTGTATGAGCAGTACATACCTCGAACTTTGCATTAGAAGCATTTAGCGCGGTTTCAAGCACGTTAGTAAGCGTATGACGGTAAACTTGCGATCCTTGCTTGGACAACTCAGGGCCTAGTAGATCCATTAAATATTGGACAAAGTCACCCTGTGTACATTTAATATTGGACGTAAGTCATATGACTGACAGCCAGCTTTGGCAAAATCATATTCCGTACCTGTCCTAGCAGCAAATAGCGCTTCAATGCTCGGCAATGATCCAGAAGTCGGTATTTTTCAGTCAATGTGCGAATAAGGTACTTGTTAGTCGAATTTGACACGTTCTCAATCACTTTTTCAAGGCGCTTTAGCCCCGCGAAGTAGTCTTTTTCATTATTGGACTCTAGTCCCATCACAGAGGACTCATGTGAAGCATCCATAACCCACTTATCATTTAAAAGAGAGACCAGGTCAGCATCTTAGTAACACCTTAATAAGGAGGTCAAACATCCTCATTAACTTACATCAGCATGTCCACAGCACTGACGAATAAAGTTGATGCTTTTTCCAATGACCAAGATTTTCTTAGCGAGCTCACTATTAACAATAAGCAATCATCAGTAAAGGCATGTCACAAAAGCATATGCATAGCAACTGAACGTACATTGAAATGAAAGCTGGCAACATTTTCAGATTCAATGTGTATTTCTTGGCCCAAAACTGATCTTCACTTACAGCTGGATCAGCCACTACAAAAAACTCGCCCTATTAAATTAATGTCCAGCCGTGCATCCGGATCAAAACAACATTTTATTCGATCATGTATGTCCATGTTCACGTACATGCCTGTCTTCCAGCTCCCCTTCAAAGACCCACCGCTTGATCATTCGAAGGATTGGCGCCGCAATTTGCTTTAGCACCCTTTGCACGAATTCTGATACGTCAGGAGCGCCGTGCAACGCATGCGATTGGATACCGGACGCGAGTGCTCCACCACGGAGACCTTCAACACTGCAAAAGTAAACAATGTATCATACTTTATACCACAAGAAAAGTTTTCGCACAATGTCACCTATCAATAAGACGAGCCATCAAGCGCATCTTATCCAGTGGATCCTGAAGCCACACGGTCAACGTCCGCAATGTCAGACTGCTGACACCGCGTGGATCTATTTGACGTGTTTCTGCGTCTTCATCAATCTGAGCAGCGAGTACAGCGATCAAGCGGAAATACGCCGACAATTCAGTATTAAGCACATGACAGAAACTTTGCCCAACCTACAGATAAAAAGCATGAGCACGATTAATACTCCCGCTAGCGGACACAGCCACTGAGAAAAACAGACCAAGCCAAACGCAAGCTCTTCGCGATGCTGATAAATGTACTCGGAAATTTTGCGAAAAATCCACCCAAGCTCGCACAGCATATAAATGAGCTCGCGCATGGCTGCTCAAACGCAATACATCGATACATGAGCTTAGATTTAGTAGGCCACAAGAATTCACACTCATTCCGTACGTTTCGGTACACTGGCGCTGCTTGTAATCTGAAAGCGGTCGGCTGCGTTATCAAAATACAGGTAACGCGACTCAATAGCTTGTAAAGCGTACAAAACATCCCGTATCAGGACTTCTTCCGGTACGTCAAACGACAAATTCTTAGCAGGTGCAGTGCGTAACTCTGCGGCATCTAATGTTAGCCCTCGTGCACTGCTACTTTTGGCTCGACTTGGCTTATGCACCGGAGCAATACCAACAGCAAATTTAAAAGAATCTTCTAATGAGTCCAGATCCAGATCGGTATTAGACTGCTCCATTCTTGTAGGCACTGCGTTCTGATCGTCAAAACTTAATGACGACGCAGGCATTGAGTGGGATCGATGGTGAGCTCCATTTCGTTCTAAAATGGCGTTGTTCTGTACTATATTTGAAGCATGATCATCTGTACTCATGGCTGTATAGTCTGAATGATCGTATGTCTCTTGCATTTGTAGCGGTAGTGCAGTATCCATCAAACCGTGTAACAACAGCAATGCTTCACTACAAGTCAAACAACCGTTTACTAACTAGAGACATAAAAGTTTTCAAGTAATCACGCACGTCTTCTTGTCTAAATTCTTAAACTGAGCAAAGCGCGAGTAAACGTCATTGAGCCTCGCAATAGCCGCTTGCGAATCAGCATAAAATTGTGGCGCGTCTATCGCAATCTTACGCTTGATCTTTTCAAGCACAGCAAACTACAAACAACATTCTAAGCGATTGTATAAACTAATGATCTTTCAATTGCGAAATTACGCACCGCATCGGTTTGTGGACTCGTAGACACAGAGTCGTGGAGGCGAATGAAAGTATGGCGTGCAATGGTGGAAGAAGGCGCACCGTGAAGTTTTCTTAGTAGTTTGTCCACTAGCATGTTAATGTCTCGCGGACTGCGTCCGCGCAATTGATGGCGCGAGCTCGCG